TCACGCACTGTGCTGAGTCACAAATCCTCCCCTGCTTCCTCCTTGCTTAGAGAAAGTAGTAGTTTTCTTCTGAACTATATTAGCAGAAAAATAATTACCTCCCACATCCTTGGCACTGGCTTAAGTATGAAAATCTCTGTGTGTTTGTGTGTGTATCAGGAGGTGGAGGAGGGATGGATGGAGTTGAAAGTCCTTCCCTTTTCCTTTTAGTCCTGCTCATTCCCAGAAGGTCATTTGTATGAGACTGTCCCTGCTTATAACTGCTGGTTGAGGCAATGTCATGGTGTAGGCAACTATAACCCTCCAAAACCAGTGAAGGAGTAGACTTGGGATACGCGTTCTCTGAAGATCTGGGTTACTAATATCATGAGAACAGGAAACCGCCCTGTTCAGCAAACCAAGTTTGATTCAAAATTGAAGACACATGACAACGTGAGATAGAGCTGTGCTTCGAAAGTCCTGATATTTTTTCTGAGACCAACCTGCCATCAGTTTCCTTGGATATGTTCCACAGCACAACAATGCCAAGTGCATTTTAGCAGCTGGGTCTAGAGCACTTTTTTCAGTTTTTTTTTTTTTTGGTACCATCTTTGCTGAGCATTGGTTGAAATCCAAAAAAGCTTGTAAGTACACAATGGAGTATGTAGGTAATCCTATTGCTTTAGGTGCAGACACTTACATGCTCAGAGATAAGCCTGAATTGATGAGACAGCAACCAGCTCCTCTCATGATTGTGTTCCTGAGAGGAAATGCAGCATCATGTAATACTTCTAAAACACGCCAAGTATCCCTAACAGTATATTTCCTATAGCTTTGAGAAAGATCAATGTTGCCTGGTATAAGCTCTCTTCCTTCTTTTTTCCATATTCCTTGTACTTCTCAATTGTGCCCTAAACCTTTGGGTCTATGCAGTCCTCTAGAGGCTGAAAAGGGCTTGACATGGTATAAAAATCAATGCTGTTCTCACATAATAAATATTTAAAACACTTTATCAGTGTAAATAAATGCTAAATTCTGAGAGCCCAGGGAATGGCATTAATGTGTTTTGCTTACTGAAACATTTATGGAGTCAGCGTTGGCCAACAAAATGCAGCCAAGAGGGTTTTTTTAAAGGTAAGCTGAAGTGCTTTCAAAATAAATACTAAAAGCCGTTTAAGATCTTCAATTATTAACAGAAGAAAAGTGCAGGCTATAAAACTGAGAACGATCCCTTTTGTGGCACTCTCCCTCACCTCTGAGCCCCTCAAGGCAGGTGCTATGCCTTCACAGGTATTTGGAGTGTGTCTAGCATATGGAGAGAGTTTCCATGAATGACTAAGTATACCAAATATTTGGAAAACATTTATTCTTATATTTACTGGCCAGGATGTTATTCAGGACTCTGCGTTTATGATTGGCCAAAGATGGCATTGCCAGCCTCTGTAAAGCACTGTAAAAACACAGCTCTTCACTCTGGTGTGGGAAGGCAGTTATTGGCACCACCTTCTTGAAACCCAGAGGCCAGCTTTGCAGCCTGATAAGGTCACTGGGCATGCTAATTTAGTTATGATTATAAGCTGCAAAGCTCATTGCTTGGAGTGCAAGCTTTACTTCCACAAGGCACAAAATGCCAAAGGTGTGTATTGTACAATGGTGTATTGTAGAGAGCATTAGGCAAGCGGGTCTGTGCTGCCCTTGTGTTATGAACACCCATGTTGGGTGATATCTACATGTCGCATTGTGCAAACATTAAGAGCATGAATGAGTTGGGACGGAAAAGTTTAGTTTTCTGGGGTTTTGGCCAGGGGATTGAGGGGAGTATGGGGTGGTGTAAGTTCAGCTGACTTTTCTTCCTCTGATGAGGGATAAAACATGTAAATGTGTGTAGGTCTCACCATTGGCTAGAAAAAGCTTTGTGACTGCATGTAAGGGGATGGTTTGCCTTCATTTATCCTGATCAGAAATGCATCTCATCATCCATAGACATTGATCTGCACCACTCAGATTTCAGAACACAGATTTTATGTGTTTTGAAGCATCCCTGTTTGTTCCACCTACCCATGGCTCTCCCTCAGTCCTTTAATCCTTCTTTATCTGCTCTCCCTATTCTCCTACTACACCAACTTTTCTGATTGTCTAGGCCTGGTTCCTCATGCCATTCCTTGCAACTGCTATTCAAGTTGCTCGTGGCTGCCTGAACTGAGTATAAAGTAATTTACTATCTTCAGCTATATTGCATCAATAAGCTTGACAACAATGCTGGGAGCATGGTGATATGCATATAATCCTGTGCACCTCTACTAGTAGCATTCATTACATCTTCTGAGAGGACATTTCTAAAGTTGCTGCATAGTTAGTGGTTTTAAACTTTTAGAAGCTCTCTGAATACTTCAATGGTAGTATATGTAAGCTTGCTAATTAATGGAATCATCTGAATTTAAAACCAAGCTGCCCTACTGGGGTATTGCACAGCACACACATTGATTCATGCTAGCAGTATGCAGTAGCTCATCTCTTCTTCAAAGTTTTGGTTTATTATCCTCTAGAAGCTTTTCTCTAATTAAGCTAGCTGAAGCTCCTGTAAATCTTCTGGTGGTACATGTTCCCCTGACTGCCTAAACACCTTGTCATCTCATGTTTATGGTGCATGCCTTTGATTTCACAAGCACTGCTTTGTTAATACAAAGGTCATTGATTTGTGCAGATATTATCTTCTCTGGACATTTGTGGTACACTGAAGACTTCCATGGCATGGGTAGTAATGAAGCTACCTTTAAAATGAGAGAGCTTTTTGTTCATTATTTTGTCTGTCTTCGTACCCTCTCAAGAGCACTGGGTATATCCTATGGTTAATATTAAATCAATTAAGAATAACAGTAATTAAGGATAAAATACATAAGACCTTGACTATAATTTGGGTTAATAGGGCTCCTAAAATCACTAAAAATGGAGGCCTTTATTTGCTTTTGTGTAGATTTATTTGAAGCTACAAATAGTTCAGTCTGCAGAGTTTGTGATTTCTTTCAGCTTTGTAGCCATCCGTAGTTTTTTAACTTCCTTGTGTTGTACATTGTTTGGGAGAAGGTGGGACATTGTTGTTATTTTCTGGTGAATGTGACATGCTTGACTGCTGTGAAGTGTTGGGGTGGTGCTGATGTGGAATGCAGTTCATTTTCTTTATATATTTAGAAGTAGTAGACTGAATCAGGTGAGCATCTATGGAGAAAGAATGACTGCCTCATGTAATCACAGCAGTATTTTTTCCCCTGAGACATTTCTTATCCAGATGAAGTACCTAGAGATAACTGAGTGAGCAGAACAGCTCACTCTTTTACAGGATGAGTTTTGATCCTGTCAGTATCTTACTTCATATAAGGAAACTCCTTGTGAAGCCAGATTGTTTCATGCTGAGTATCACTCCCTTTGGATAGTAACATGAACCATTAACAGATAACTGAACTGACTGCAGACGTCTGAAAAAACATTGTGACCAGAGGGATACTAGTAGCCAGCTTTGGATTACTAGCAGTGAATGATCTTGCTGGCCTGGAAGCTAATGCGACCTTTGATTGTTTTTGCTGTGTTCCATGTGGCTGGGAGCGAATGCAAAGTCTCAGCCTTAGCCGCGAATTGACAAGTGGATTGCCTACAAATGAAAGGGCTTGTCAAGAGATGTGTCATCCTTATTAGAAGGTGTTTAAATTAGCTAGGAAAAAGTAATAAAAATTAAAATCTAAGATCTTAGATGATAGATTTTAGAAGTTAATAGTTATCACAAACTCTCTTGGCAGATAGATAACAGACATTTACAACTCATGAATCACATTTATTCAAAAATCAGAGCTAATATCAACTGCTCTAAGGAGATGGAAGCATTTGCAGGAGACATTAATGGTTTTTGTCTCTCAGTCATTGCAAAATCATGAGCTCGTAATTGTTCTGATCTGGCTATTTGTAGACTACAGAGTTCTAGAGGTCTCTCAGTATTTCCAACATTAATAACTTGCCAGTGACAGTGGTTGCCATCACTGCCACCAGTGATAATAACTTTAAGACCTTTGTAAATGCAAATCCTTACTAAAGGCAAATCCTTACTAAAGGCCGGCTTTGTTATTCTGGTTTTACAAATGAGGAGGAGACAAGAGAGACGCTCATGCATCTGCAACTTGAGTCAGCTGCATCTGAGGGTACAGCTGCTTAGTGCTTTAGCAAACTCAGCTACAAGTCACCTTCCCTGGGCCATTCTGGAAGTGTTTGGCTCACTCATGATCAGGACTTATACCAGTCTCATGCCTTAACAGCAGCCATGTAATACTGTTTTGTTCATACCCCTTTCTAGGTACCTAGACAACCTCTATTATAGAATAATCCCTAAATCTTGGGGCAAAACCCACCCTGCTGGTTCTGACTCTCCTACAGACTGAGGTAAATTAAGGTAGATCTGGAGTTCAGGAAGATGCTAAGAGGGCTGGGAGTTCTCTGTCAGTATAGGTTTGGTGGTCCTTCAGCAGCTCAGGCTCTGGCTGAGATGGCTTGACCTCTGGAAGAATGCAGAATCAGAGCAGGGACATTACTTCAGTTTACCATCTTTCCCCATGCTCTGCGGTGCAGCTCTGTGCTATCCCATCACTCACCCTCTTGCATGTCTCGCTGTTCTTGTCCTGCTTCAGTTCTGGTTGTTCTTCATTTTTCCCATGCTTTAACTCTCCTCAATACTCTCTGGGAAACAACTTGTGTCTGGTTTTCAAGAACAGGCAAAATAGCTAATGTATTCCCTCCCCAATGTGGTGGTATTTCAGTGACAGGTAGGGTAATACCTGTGATCCAGGCTACAATGGCAAATTTGTGAAATATTGGGTATCTTCTGGAGGGAGGTGATCTGTAAATGTAAATCTTTACATCATCAAGATAATGAGTTCAAGTGAGAGGGGACGAAATAAAAATTACATATTATTGTGCAATTTATTGCCTCTCTATTTTGTTCTCTTGCTGATAAGTGTTTCCTTCTGTTCTCTCTGCAGGTCTCCAGGTGGTTTTAAATTCAATTATCAAGGCCATGGTCCCTTTGTTGCATATTGCCCTGCTGGTGCTGTTTGTCATTATTATCTATGCTATCATTGGACTGGAGTTATTCATGGGGAAGATGCATAAGACCTGCTATCATGTGCAAGGGGGACTGATGGGTAAGCGGAACACTATATCATACACACAAAGATTTTCTGAGGCAGGCATTCCCCATGTACCTCAGAGCACTTGTGCTGTCTGTAAAGGCTATATGCAAACCTGTCAATTCCTGCTAGTGGACCTTTGGCATTACAAGCCAGCCTGAGTTCTTTAACAAGTATCTTTGAGCCTTTAACAAGGCTCGAGCAACACTAAAGTAGTGGTGATTTCACCACTAAGCAGACTGAGCTAGAAATGAGGTGGCATCATGGAAATTAAAACCCCTTTTGTTTTATTATTAATCTTGTACACAAACACATCTCCATTTTAAACTAGTATCATTGTAAAAGATTATTGTATATTGTAAAGGAATTGAAGCCTATTACGTTTTTTTTCAATCACAGGCTGTGACCGCGTCTAGAAGTACTGCTAGTATGAAAGCAAAATTATATTAATGGGAAGAAACTTTTTGCACCAAAGCCATCAGGAAAGAATTTTGAAATTTATTTACAGAAAGAAATATTCAAATTTCAAAATAACTCAATTGTATCATCACTCACTCATCTAACCATCTGCTCTTTTTCATTTGATTTACTGAACTTGAACAGCAGTGATTTCCCATGTGGTGGTGGGTGCCAGTGTCCAGGACCTGACTTAGCTTATAACCAAGAAAATATTGTACAGCAGGATATTGTTTTAGAAGTTCTATATTTCCTGCTTTTATAACATTGGCAGATCTTATTTTCTGAAAATGATGCTAGAACTATAATGAATTGTCAGTCTGATTTACAACTTTAAAGTGTACATATCTTTCTCCATAGTGTGGTATTATTTATGTTACTGCATCTAAGTCTATTATTGCTGTTTCTGGCACGCTTTAATGATGAGAGTGTGATCATAAATTTTGGAAAATTGCATTTTTTTGCCATATAAGATGAGAAACAAACATAATTATCTGCTCCCACACACATACATACCTGCATCTGTTATAAATGTAGAACTAAGCTCTGAAATCCACATACTTAAAAAAAAAAAAATCTTATTGCATGAATCTTTGTGCTTATAAACATGCTTTTTGGTAGCATTTTTCGTATACCAAACCATTTAGGCAGGCTTATTGCATGGGTTCTCTGATTTTTGGAAGCACCTGTATAGAATAAGGGCTGTATAATCAAGCTGTAGTCTTATAGAGCTCGTGAGTGATGCTGAGGTATTGAGAAAATGCTACACAGCTTTCAAACTCCAAAAGAGTGGAGCTCCAGACACTCTATGCTGTGATTCAGCAGTGGCCCAGCTCCATATCAACCTATCTCCAGAGCACTGAAGCCTGTCTGCTGCAGAAGTTCAGCCTCCTTCAGCGGAGTGCCAGTCACTGCTGCAGTTTCCTTCCAAGATTAACCCAGATGCCAGGTGACTGCGGTATGAAAACACTGGTCATAACATGCAGCCTAGAGAAATGTAATAGACTCAATCTAATGTTCCCTCTCATGTTGAAGAGTTTGATTTCTTCCTCATAGGAGACTATGCTTTAAAAAAATGTCTATCTCAGTTCTGAGTGTAAACTTTGAAAGCTTATCCATTATTTTTACAAAAAGAAAGTGAAACATAACAAGACATTCTTCTGCCCATTAAAGTTAATACAGTTGCTTGTGCATTCCTAGAGAAATCTGACAAATTTGCTGCAAAATATATTTCTTCAAAGCAGATATCCTTCACTCACGGCAATTAGTTCTCTTCATTTCCTTTTTCTTCCTCCTCTCCTTTAAGATACACCTGCAGAAGATGATCCATCTCCCTGTGCCCCCCAGTCTGCGCATGGGCGGCAGTGTCAGAACGGCACGGAGTGCAAGGCAGGCTGGGAGGGACCTAAGCACGGCATTACCAACTTTGACAACTTTGCTTTTGCCATGCTGACAGTGTTTCAGTGCATCACGATGGAGGGCTGGACAGACGTACTGTACTGGGTACGTATCTGAAAATTATAAGATGAAAAGCCTGCTCATGTGCTATGGCTATCGTGAAGCTTCAGGGCTTTAGAGCTTTCTTGCTTGTTTCTATATAGTGAAGGCAAGGTTGCTAGCATGGAGCTTTAATTAATTCAGAATATTAGTGGGTAAAATGGGAGGGTTTATCTGGTGCAGTTAAATCAAATGTAAATGTTGAGCTTCCAGTGATATTTTAATGTTGAAAGATGGTACGTGGTTTAATGGTTTGAAGATAATCAATGTACCTTTGTTGAGCTGAATGTCATGTAAAGACCTTCTCTGCGGGAGTGAAATATCTCATACATCTCCAGATTACTGATGTAGAAGTACTTGTGACAGAAACTGTGTGCTCTACCAATGGCATTAATGTTACAAAGGCATTACACTGATCACTCATAGGTTTTAGAAGAAAGGCCTTACAAATCCCTTTTTGTGCCAGCACTACTCCTGATTATGATTTTTATCACAATAGTGTTAGAATAAATTCTCAGAACTCTCATATTGTTATCAATCATGTTTAGCTGAAACATGATACTATCTTCAAGCTAAATGCAGTCTCATCTTGTCCTTTACTTTGATTCTGGAAGTTCAATAGCTTTAGTTTATGCCTTGTAGTTCCTGATGTGTTGGGAAATTCAGTGGCAATACAATTATACTATAGGAGTTCAAATCAGATTTAGCCTTCACCTGTAAACCAGATATAAACATGCTTCTTGATTCAGCTCTTGCCATTGACTTTTGCAGCAATTCACACACAGCTCAATCAGTCCCATCTGTGTAAGGCTAACCCAGACTCTGACTAACTTTGAAGATTGGCATATTACGACACCTGGTTCTACAAGATGGTAGGATCTGCTACAATGCATGATGGAATTTAACTCAAGAAGACCCAAAGCACATAAAAGGATAATCTGGACTGGGGCGGCTTGCACTGTTAACCAGCATCAGCTTCTCTCTTAAACATCAGCCTGAAGCTGCCTTCTACCCACCAGTGAGTTAGAGTTTACAAGATTTCCCTTTGAAGATTTAGCTTATCTGCAATAGATAGTCTCTATGTGGAACAGCTAGCAGTTGTCTCTTTATCCTCATAAATTTAGATTAAAATTGTGGCTCGAGCTTCTTTTTAATGCCTGAGATAAAGGGCAGAGATCAAACCGCAAGGGGAGTCTGGGCCTCAGAGCACAAAAATTGCCTTTACTTGAAAAGAGAGTATAGATTAATAGAATAATAAAGAAGAACAGAAGTTAAGTCAGAAAAAGAACTGAGCAAAACTACTTGACTATATAAACACTCAGCTATAGCTATCTATAATATACCTGTCCTTTTATCACATTTTAGCTCACATTCCTTCAATCTTTGTGTGATTGAGAGGATTTATAGGTAGTTCAAGGGAGACAGAAGACAGTAAAAGATACCAGAAACAAACATGAAACATGAAAAGAGTTTTGTCAGTGTATACTGTTTAGTATCATGAAACCTATCCACAAGTTGTCATCATTTTCTCCAAGGGCACGTGTAATAAAAGATGCTGCCAATCCCCACCCTTTTGAATCCAGGCATCATTTGCATGATGGGATGTGAATCATTCAGAACCCAGTTATCAGTTATATAATATCAGGAGCCAAAAACTTATACTCAGTGTTAAATGATTTTCTACCATGACTGCTGCAGGTGGTCTGATATTTTTATGGCAATCTTGCAGCAACCTGGATTTTAGCTGTGGGCCTTTGTTGGGTTTTCAGCCAGCTTTTTTTCACTGATTTCCTGAGCTGTTCTTTTATCTTTAGAGACAGTGTGGTGAACTGAGACCTGAAGTTAATACAGATTGATGGTCATTATTTTCAGGGGCATCTGTATAGTTAGCCTTTTATATTATGGCTTTGATAAAATCATAGAATCATAGAATAGTTAGGATTGGAAAGGACCTTAAGATCATCTAGTTCCAACTCCCCTGCCATGGGCAGGGATGCCTCACACTAGACCATGTTGCCCAAGGCTCTGTCCGACCTGGCCTTGAACTCTGCGAGGGATGGAGCATTTACCACTTCTTTGGGCAGCCTGTTCCAGTGCCTCACCACCCTCACAGTAAAGAACTTCTTCCTTATATCCAGCCTGAGCTTCCTCTGTTTTAGTTTGAACCCATTACCCCTTGTCCTATCACTACAGTCCCTTTGCTTTGGAAATAAAAGAAATATTTGTTATCATCGGTTTCCAATTATTCCTAGACAAGACTACAAAAGAGTTAGCATTGCAGGCAAAATTTCAGTAATTGAGAAGAAATTTAGTTTGTAAAGAAAAAAATGTATCACCTATGTTTAAAGGCCATGAAACACAAAACTTAAGTAACTACTCGAACACCTGAGCTGACAGACACAGTTAAGCTGCTGCAAACAATCCTAAGAGTATTTTTGTCCCATATGACCTTTTGCCACTGTTTCATGTTGACAATGTGGATAGAAGTCAACTGTGATCAGTGTTTGCCGTATGGTAAAGAAGGTATTTGAGATGCAATGCATATTTCCTTCTGCAGAGAGGTCTGTGCTACTCTGGAGGCAGATGTTGTTTAGGCAGTTACTGTAGGGCACACCTATGAGAAGCATTGTGGCTTTAATATTTATATGTAGAAACAGTCTCTGAACATTCACACTGTAGTTTCATATGTGGGTGTTTCTAACCTTATCAATTTTGGTTTATACTGTAAGCCTTAAAGTCTGTGAAAGGGGCGTTCTAACTTAAGCTAGCCAGATCAAAAGTAAGATTATTTCTGGATAGTAAATAGAAAAAATGCAACATTTCAATCTTTGAGAGTAAAGGACAAATTTTAGTAAGTGGAGTAGGATATAAATAATCTATTTTAAACTTAGTGTAAGCCATTGTTTCTTTAGTGAAGTCTGACTCTCATGTAACTCTACACCCTGGCCTTTGCCTTTTCAGCCATGAAGAGTGGACTTGTCACAGACAACCCATTGGGGGCTGCACCTCCACAAGAGTGTAGAGATAGGAGGCTGTTTTCTTCTCAAGTAGATAACACTTTGAGAGATCTCCTGGATCCACACTGAGGTCCTGGAAATTAAAACTTGCTTTGTTAGTAAATAAATCTGCACAGTTAATTAAATTAGAAATCCAGATCCTCTCTCTCCAACTACACCCTGAGACAGAGAGTTGGTTGTCCATTTTACACTGAAAGGAAAGCACAGGTTAAAGAGCAGTGTAAGAGAATGTTGTCAGCCAATCAGACAATTTTGCAGCTGAAAATTTTAGATGATGACTTTCAGAGGTCATTCCTTAAACTTAAGGATGTCAAGTATTTAATATTAAAAGTGCTGAGAATTCAAAGTTCAAGCACACTGTCAGGTTCTTAGCTCCTCTGCAATTCAGGGTAGATACCAAGGTTTGAATCTGGGGTCCTGCTGGGGTCAATGGCAAAATTCCAATTAATTTCAAAAGGTCAGGATCTTAACTTCTATTTTGAAAAATCTTGATCATGCTGTTGAGATTTTCCACATGCCGCCATGTGTAGACATGAGGACTTACAGATGCCTAATCAGGGCCTTGGTGTCTGTAGGTATGTAGTGAGTTTTCTTTGTTTCCTCCTTAAATCTGAAAAGAGCCTAAAACTTAGCAGAACCACAGATAAATCTCTGTGCTGAATTATTTGGCTGGAAATGTTTAGACAATGGAGCAATTCCCTTGGTTTGAACTTTTCTATAGGTGCTTTTCAATTAAATCTTCTCAAAAATAGCTTTTGAAAGGTACCTAGATCTCTGTGTTCCTCTCAGTGGGAATGGAGGGAGCTTAGCACATTTCAGCATGTTGCCCGGAAAAATATACTAGCAATTTCATGAAACCTATGTCTGTCTTGTGCCATACCTTGCAAGGTTAAACATGCATGTTTAAAAGTTAGAAAGCTGTGTGACCTTCCACAAGCCTTGGACTGCTAATCCACTTAGTAGCTCTTCAAACTCTATCTTCAGTTTCCTGCTTCCTTCATGCTTCTGCACATGCTTCCTCCAGCTTTTCGCCTCTGCAGTGAAGCCTGTCTCCTCTCATGGAGTACTATTTCCCAGCCAGTGGTCTGCATCATCACAATAAGATACTGAGAGACAGGAAAGCAATAAACTTTTATTCCTTAGAAGGATTTGACATCAATAAGATCAATACACCTTCCAATCTCCTCTCTCACTCAGTAGATATGATTTGTGAGGTAGATTGGCATCTTTTGAAATGTGAAAGAAAAATGTTAAGGAAAACAGTTTGAGACTGCACTAGTGGCAGGTAAGATATTACTTACAAAGAGCCAAGATTTTAATGTGAAATAACTATATTGGACAGGATGAAAATCCGTGCAAAACAACCTTGTTGATTCTTTGCTGAAAAATTGATCTTTGTTGAAGGGAGTATTAAGTGTTTATAGAAGCACATCTCCTACACTGCCTCGATCTTACAATGTTTGCTTTGTCCCAGTAAAACTGCCAGGTGGGTTTATCTCATATGCAGTCAGTTCACAGAATCGTTTGAGTAGATAGGCACCTCTTGTGATACGTCACATCATAGTTTTTCCTATGCTTTGTAGAAAGATCAAGCTTAATATTCTCAAAACTCTCTCTAATGTATGATCTCCTAACATTAGCACCTCACTCCCTTGTGCAGGCACCAAGGCCCATTTCTGAGGACCACTCAGTCTTGGAAACTTCAGCAGCAGATGCAAATCTAAATGTTACAAATTGAGTCGTTTTATATTTTGTAATCAGTCTCTGCTGCAGTCCGTTATTTCTTATTGCCTTGTTGTCCAAGGAGGAAAATTAATCCCTGTGCATTTTGTAACATCCTGTTTAAGTATTTGTAGACATTTGTTGCCTTCCCGTAATCTTTTTCTAATCTGAGTAGATTCAGTTCTTTCAACCTTCCCTAATGGGGCTTCTTTTTAATTATTTTTAATCAGTTTGTTACTGTCCTTCAGGGGATGCTTTGTGTCTGAG